CAATATGGAAAGGCACCTTTACAAACATACAGGCGAGCGCCCTTTCCAGTGCCACCTTTGTCCAGCTACATTTTCTCAGGACAGTCACCTCACAGGGCACATTCGCACTCACACGGGAGAGCGTCCCTTTTCCTGTGACCACTGCAACTCAATCTTCTCACGGAAACATTACCTCACGGAACACATGCGTACCCACACAGGAGAGCGTCCCTTTTCCTGTGACCACTGCAATTCGTCTTTCTCACGGAAGCATTACCTCACGGAACGCATGCGTACCCACACTGGGGAGCGTCGATTTTCCTGTGACCACAAAGATGCCTCTTTTTCAAGAAATTCCCAACTCATGAACCACTTGTCACATCATCATAAGAACAAGAAGCCATAAGAGTGAGTCGTCTATAGGCTTTCTTCAACGAGGGGGACGTGTGTCATAGTGGACAGAATGTGTTGACTGAAGGTGACTGTGGAAGAGTAGATTGCACATATTGGAAACCATCTAACAGAATACTAGTAATCCAATCTGCAAGTTTAGGACATGGCCTCCAAGAATAGCTGGTGGTGCACTGTTAATACGGCAGTCCCATTTAGTGTGTCACTTAGCGAATAAGTATAATTTTCTCGTGTCTTGAAGACGCCGCAAGATGGTGATCTTTCCCCAGAAGTTAAGTGGTGGTCATCTGCCTGGCATAGCGTGTGATTACAGTCACTTCAGTCTCAAGTTCGGCCGTATAGGCACGTTGTTACTAATTTGTGACTCGTTATAAGCAGGCAGTCAATGTTGATATCGTCTCGCTACAGCTACAGAGAGCAATGCTCAAGTGCATTAATAAAATGTTTCTCCTTGCTGTCACGGAATATTTTTTCATATAGGTTGCATGCAAGCTTGCCAAACGGCGTTTTTCTAGTTGTCGTGAAACATTACAACACGTAGATATGTTTTTTAATTCATTTTCACGTGACTGCGAAAGTACTGCGGCCGCTACATTACAGCATAGCTCTCTTTAGCTCAAACACCATAGATGCTGGTATATGCTACCGCGCTAAAAGACATAGCTTTGTCTCTCGCATTTCAAGCGAAATTCTTACTGCGGAGTTGTGATAGTATATGGGCTAACTCTTTTCAAATTTTGTTTGCATGCGTAACACAGAAAGACTGTTCTTTGCTTGCTTGTCCTTTTGTTTTGAGGTTCGTGTGCATATATTTTGGTGCAAGTGGAAAAACTTCACCTACCTCCTCCCTCTTTTCGTTTCTATCTTAATTCTTTTCTTTTTCACGGCCCCATTTGCATGGAGGCGACAGTAACAACTTGTGTAGCTCTGTTTTGGCACACGTTGAAGAACACCAAGGGGTAATATTTTGTGTCACTGTGATTGGGCGGAGGCCACATATTTTCTTTTTTTGGCGGTAGTCGCAAATACTAAAAATCAAGGCTCTTGCTCTTGTCTTTGTAAATAAAGGATCATGTATCTACAAGGGATTTTGTTTGTCCCATCTCCCCTGTCCGGTTGTGGCTTTGGTGCATCAAACCCCTTTCTTTGCCCATCCAGCAGCTCAATTAGAGGTGACTACGTTTGCCTCGATTCCATACATGATGTCAAAAACCATATGCATTGCAGGCTGTTTAGCGCAGCTGTATACCTAAAACACCGAATTAAGGTCTCTCATATACCCCTTCGTTTTATATTGAGGTGGAAAAGTAAATGCCAGATGCCTATAACAGACAAATGTATTGGCAGAGCTATATTTGCTCTTCATATAAAGAACAATTTAAGACAGCTCTAATTTTAAATATGCGTACGATAATTGCAGAATAAAAATAGGTATTTGTGTGAACCTGCTCACAGAAATCACATTCATTTTCTTTTCTTTGAAAAATGCAGGGGCTATAGTAAATGGCGTATCGGGGACGGTTTGTGGAGGGAAAAAGATCACCATCATCATCATCATTTATTGAACCCTTAAAGGCCCCTTGCGGGGTATTACATAAGGGGGAGGCAAAAACACAATTCAACAGATGCATGATTGTCAATGGTACAAAGCATAATCGAAAGTGAACTACATGATAAAAAACAATGTCAACAGAAGAGAAAATATATATACGTGGAAGAAAACGGCAACAATTGTAAATTAACTAACATATCAAGTGATTTGTGATTAGCTGTTTAAATTTTAAGGGGTTTCGTTCATGCACTATGGATTCAGGCAGGTTATTCCAGTCATCAATGGCAGTAGGTAAAAATGATTTATTGAAAGCGTTAGTTGAACCATGTAAGCGCTGTAAACATAGGGAGTTAAAGAGGCCACGCGATGAACGGGCGGGAGGTAGAAGAACGGTATTGCGTGGCGACGGAAATTATGGTATAGTTTGTGCAGAAGGCAGAGCTGAGTGCACCTTGCGGCGAATTTCTAGAGGAGGGATGTTGAGGGAAATTTCGATACTGGTAATACTTAAGCGAGAACTGTATTGTGAGGTGATGAATCTGGCAGCGCGATTTTGAATTGCTTCTAATGCGTCGATTAGGTAATTTTGGTGAGGGTTCCAAATAGCAGAAGCACATCCAAGTTTAGTACGTGTGAAGGTTTCGTAAGCTAATTTTCAGATTTGCGGTGGGCAGGACATAAGCGATCTTTTAATGTAGCCAACTGATTTTGCTGAAGCGAAGATCAGTTGTTCTATGTGCTCGGACCATGTCAGTTTACTTGTTATTCTGACACCAAGATAACGATAGGAGTCGACCTGGGTTAAGGGTTGGAAGTTCACAAAATACTGGAAGGAAAAGTTAGTGCGCTTGTGTGAAACTTGCATGAATTTACATTTTTGTGTATTAAGCTGCATTAGCCACCGCGAACACCAATTATGTATGTTAGACAAGTCCGCCCAAGCACTGTACAAATGGTTAACCAACGAATGCTGAAGTGTTCGACCCTGGTGTTTAGCAGTGGGTTCAATGGGACGCTGGACTAAAGCTTTTGACAACTATTTGTTACATTGTCACGAACTAAGGCTCAATCACCGTCACACCGATTCGAACAACGACATCGAACTGTTCCTTTATTTTCAGTACTCAACCATAAGCCCTCTTTTCCCCGTCACGATGATGATGATGGTGTCATAATTTTCACTCCCTTCCTCCATGTTTTCACCCATGGAGTGGCTCGATGGCGATCGAATGTGCACCGTGTGACAACCGTAGATACTTTGCGCATTAAGTATTGGGATCGTGCCGCAGAGAAACTGCTCCTTGAGTGAGTTAAAACTCTGAATTGGGTGCACGCACGTGTGTGTGACACTTGCGTTTGGCTCCAATTATAATGGAAAGGTTGCGGCTGCATATGAGGCTGTAAGAATGATGTGTTGCTTGCCACAAAGCCGGGAATCAGCTTCCACTGTGCGTTGTAGGGCTATGCGTGCTAAACAAGAATGTATATTTGCGCGTGCTTGTCACGTCGATTCCACGGCCCACCTTCGGGTGCAAACTTACTATGAACGTACTATGGCGCGGTTGCGCGCGTTAAATCCATTCGATGCTTTAATTCGACACGAAATGAGTCGTTACCTTTTACAAAAGTCGGCGCGCCCATAGCAAACGATCCCGGCAATCGGGCATTATGAGAAGCGTAAAAATTTTCCAGAGCAGTTTTTAGCACTCCATGCATTCGGGAAAGAAGCTGCAGCAGAATTTTACTGATTTTGTTGACTGTAGTACAGCAAGAATAATAAACGCGAGAGCGGCTGTGGGCTCCGCACGAGAGGGCGGCGGCGTAATCCAACCGTGCACTTAATTGAGGCGAAGAGTTTGACAACTGAACAGCTTCTATAAACGTTCATCGAACGCCTCCTTTATTTTATCAATAAAGGAGCCGTTGGTAGATCTAAGGGACCTCACCGTATGTTCTGTGACCTTACCAACTAGACGGCCGCCACGCTGCCTCTGGTCGAAATCGCCACGACGCGAGGAACACCAACTTACTTACTCTTGTTCACTGTACTATCGATGGACGCAACACGCGTGCTTTTCAAGATGCTTCAAGATTTGTGTCATGTTCTTGGCGGGCTTTTATTTGCGTCCTTGTTTGCCGGCCTCACGTGGACTATATTGAACATTGGCTGCAACGCATGATGAAGTACACTTGAGCTTTCGTAAGTGTTTTTTTTTTTTTTCGTGGTTGCAAATACTGTGAAGCTAACTCGCCGCAAAGGTGCTGTGCCCAAGTTTTTATCGGCTAAAAGAAATTTGTTTCTTGCTGGTACACATCTGCCGATGTAAAACTGCAGGCTCCGTTGAAAATTTCTGGTTGACACAGCTGTGAGCTTGGCCCGTGTCAAACGCAAGCTGCCAGTTTACGCCATAATCCGAGCGGTGACAAGGCGTTCACCATTTTAACACCAGTCAACACAGCGATAAAAACTTTGGACGAGATAAACTGGCACACCCACAGTGCTGTGTCACAACAGTTTAAAAAAAAAAAAAGAAGTGCTGTGGCTGTGTGTGCTTCAGTCTTGTACAGCCGCCCCCCCCCCCCCCCCCCCCCCCACCACCACCACCACCTTTTTTTTTTTCTTGCATGCCAGCATCGACCGCCGAGTCAGTACGCGCGTCCGGTGCAGCCTAGAAGACAGCTGTAAAGGACTGTACTACATTGCAGGCATGCACGTATTACGGTTCATTTTGCCGCTATGCTCCGTTAACTCTTTCCTTACCGTCCCATAGAGCTTCGATTACTATGGATCGGTGGTTTTAAAAGCCCCGCCAAAAATAAAAGTATGCGATGAATGGATCGATGGAGGGATGTGGCTGTACCCTTTAGATTGAGTAGCGGCTAACGCCACCTAGCCTTAATAATTAATGAACTAATAATTAAATTTATCTTTTTTTTACGGACACTTAACGCCTTTTGGCCGGAAATATAAGAACTACTTTACATTACTACTTTTTGTTTCGGCCTATCGGCGGGAGCTCCTGCGCAAAAAAGAAGACAGCGAAGGAGGTAGCCAAAGTACAGGAGGCGTTGAGGTAGCGTTGCGTTTAGCGCATCGGCCGCCGCCGACGAAGAAACTGCAGATACGTGATTCCGCTGCCTCCACTGCTCATGATCTTGGTTTGAGCTGTAGTGAGGACTCTGTTGAAGTTGGATCATCAGATTTAGACTCAGACAGCGATGGTTCATCTCCACAGCCCGGACCTTCAACCCCTGTGTCAAAGTAAGTGTAGGTTCGGAAGTGATGGGCGTGTTTTGTAAGTGACGACACTTGTTAACGTTTTCTTAATTACTAGGGTATCAACTACCTATGGAGGCTATATTCTGCCGAATGCACCATGCAGAGCCAAGTTCTTACGTAAACGAACACCTGGGGTACATCTGGATGTGACGCGCCTGAGCGAGACGCGAAGTTTTAAACGTGCGCTGGACATGTTTATGATGTTTTTCACTGCCGAATTGGTCTCGACTGTTTGTCAGTACACCAAGTACGCTTGGTTGAAAATTTTCGAAAAACCCAGCTACGCAGAAGCAGACGGCTCTTGGCCTGAGGTCACGCCGCCGCCGGAGATTTTTTGATTCATTGCACCCCTCATATACATGGGTATTGTGCAAGTGCCACGCCTTCGTATGCACTGGAACACTGGGTCAATATACGGTGGTCTCCTTCCAGCGCAAATCATGAGTAGGAAGCGTTTCTTTTCTCTCCCCGCTTTCTTGCACGTCTCTGATCCGGAAGATCAGAGCACTGCATCAGCCGGAAAACTGCGGAAGGTGTGGCCACTGCTTCAACATATCAATGAGGTGTCTGCACCATTTTTCCAGCCACGGGAATCCATCGCACTAGATGAAAAAACGGGGAAACCGAAAGCAAGATAGGGAATTAGGCACTATATTCTTTATAAGGTGACGAAGTGTGGTTACAAATGGTGGGTTCTCGCTGAATCTGAAACAGGGTATACTTTGCAGTTCTTTGTCTACACAGGTAAGAGGGGTACACCAGGACCACATGGATTGGCTTTTGATGTTGTCAGTAAACTTTGTGAAAAATACAACAAGGGTACAAAATTTACATGGACAATTTTTATACCTCAAAGAACCTATTCGAACATCTCCTGCAATGCAGAACGTACGCTGGCATGTGGAACGACAAGAAAAGATCACCGAGGCTTCCCTGGCGATCTGATATAAAATGGGAAAGGAAGGCTGAGCGGGGGCACATTCGGTGGGTCAAGGGTGGAAACATCTTGTTTCTCCAGTGGAAAGACGGCAAGGCAGTAAATGTAATGAGTACAATCCACACAGCGAACGAACACGTTTTGGCAAAAAAATATGTCAAAAAGTGGGGAACCGATGGACTGAGAGAACAATAAGGAAGCCCTTGTTAGTGCATGACTACAATGCAGGCATGTTGGGGGTAGACAAATCTGACCAGATAATTGGCACATACAACGTCTTTCGGAAACACGTATGATGAGGAAAACACTGTTCTCCCATTGTATCGAGATAGCCTGCGTAAATAGCTTTATTCTTTTTCAAGAGCATCGCAAACAGCATCCAGACATTCCTGAGCTAAATTTGAGTTCCCAATTTGATCAGCTTTCTTTCCGAGAGATGCTCATCCAGGGAGTTTTGAACCTAAATGATGACCAACCTGTCAGAGTTTCTTGTCTGCCACCCGACTGGATTCGGCACAAGCCGGAAAAGGTTGGCAGCCGAAAAAACTGCAAGTTGTGCTACGAGAACACCAAGAAGGAAGTGAAAACAAATGTTCTTTGTAGCACCTGCAAAGCACATCTCTGCTTTACCGCCATGCGCAACTGCTTCTCCAAGTGGTACATGCGTCATGGGCGCTAAGATGAGGGCCCGCAAGAAATATACTTTTTATTCGAGAATGTTCAAATTTGGAAATATTATACCTGGTATTATAAGCTGTCATTTGTATATTTCAGTTTTGTTTCAATCCAAATGTTGTAATGTGTAACAGCAATTTTATATATTCTATTGTACATTTTCTTTTGTTTTCCTCGAATTTCAGAAATAAATTATGAAACAGTATGAAGTTGTTTGCTTTGAATTTTATTGCATTAGAAAAACACGTGAATGGGCTACATTTAAATGTAGAAGAACCCATTGTACACGCAACAGTTTTTGATAAAAAAAATATCATGTAGACACACATTGAAAAGACCAGTTTTCTTCGGTAAGAAAAGAGTTAGACGCTTATATCGACTGAGCTGTCGACGATCGCGCGTCCAGGTTAAAAGTTTGTGGCTGTACTCGTTTTTTTTCGTGCTTTATTTGCTTTATAAAGAATTATACCACGACCTACTCTACTCCTGACCTGCCCAGATAGCCCCTCTCCAGCGCCCACCACGTCAAGTTTGTGCAGTCGCAATCTTTTTGGGGGTGAATACGGGAGCCGTTGGCTTTCATGAGGTCTCTAGATGAAACAAAACAACTTGTTTCATCTAGGGACCTTGTGGCGAATTTCATTGAGGGAACAGGAGTTAGAGGGGCTGGGCAGTTAGGAGTGGGGGGCAGAGCACTGAAAGCAGGGCCACTCAACCTGCCATTGGAATGTGCCCTGCTCTCGGAGGGCAGGTAAGAAGGTGACGAGTAGAGTAATGTTACTGAAACATTCCAAGCCTCGGGATATTCTCTTTGGGGCAGCAGCAAAATATGCGTGAAATCGGTCAGACATGCGTTCTTTATTATCCTAGTACCTAGTATGTTTGTGAAATGACCCATTTGGCAGGCGTCCAGCTGTCATCGTAGCCACTCGTAGAAAACAGCGGTGTCAAACTACACATGGTTGCTACCATTGCCGCCGCACTCACCGGCTGAAGAAAAATTCGGGAACTGTGACGTTCGAGAGCCACGTGACTCGTGGTACTCCGCTTTTCAGGCGAGATCACTACAAACTGTGCCTGGCTGCTCTCGGCACATTGGTAGAGCACTCTTGCTCTACCAATGAATGGCAGTGCTCCTGCACCTGTTCGACCACTGAAACATGCTATGTCTCAAGAGAGCACTTTAGGCGTGCTTTTCAGTGCTCCTGCTCTCTCAGTAGTGAGGAGGGTAGGAAAGCTACCCTCCTCACGCATGCGCGCAGATACTGTGACGTGTCGGCAGTAGTGAGGAGGGTAGGAAAGCTACCCTCCTCACGCATGCGCGCAGATACTGTGACGTGTCGGCAAATGACTCTAGTAGTGCCGCAAGCCACGCCCGCCTGTGTTCACTCCAAAAAATATTGCGACTGTACCCTCTGCCGCTTGGGCCGTAAGCGACGAGTAGCATGGCGCTAGTCGGCACCTGTTCACTGGCGTCACCTTCAGCGTTCGTCACCTTTGGCCAACAGAGCAGTCATATTGCGTAATTATTATGCAAGAATAAAAAATAGTTGGGAAATAAATATACTAGAGGTTTTTCAGAAATTCCTTGTAATTATTCACACAAGCTGTCCTACACCATGTAAGACTACAGGTTCCCACGTTTGTCAACCTATGTGCAATAAATACTTAATCGCACTGAACAGCTCACTTGACCAGTAATCTAAGTGAAAAAATAGTCGCATATATGCTGGCAGTTCACAGAATGCAGCCGTTCTTACTCTAGCGCTGTCCAAACAGCCGTAGTGTATCAGATGAACAGGTTTCAGGTTTTAGGTAGCGTCATCAACGGTGAGCAGTTGAACGAAAGCGGTGACACTAGTTTCCATAGGAACCCCGCCACCTGAGCTGGTTAGGAGTACATTAGGTCGTGAATTGTACCAACACGCCCAAGCTTCTATGTTAAAGATGACAGTTCGTAGACCAATAACCATTCCCACATTTCATGTTATAAAGGCAAAAAAAAAAAAAAAAGATTCAGATATCCATTTCAAGGGCACGGGATGTGCAAAAATGAATGTGTTGCGATTCGTGTTGTTCTTAAATGTAGCTCGACTACTGTGAAACCTGAGGATGCGCACAGAATGGGCACACAGCGGTTCCAGTTCACAAGTTCCCGCTGCTCCGTTTACCTAGTCACTGATGTGAGTGTTAGAGGGAAGTGTGTAGATCGCTTTCACTGCTGTACTGAAAGCACTGTGTTGGAGCGCCAGCGTTGGGGGGGGGATGTGATATTTCCGTTTTCACATTATTGTAATTTGTTATCAAAGCGTCACATGCACGTAAATTCGTTTTTCACGCACAGAGATGTTCCTTCCACGTCGTTTTCACATAGACACAACTTGCTTGTCATCAAAGCCGCGTTCAGGGAGTTCCAGTTCTTTTTAAAAGCTGCGTCCATGACGTCACGTGCAAGCAATCTATAGGGTGTCTGCCATAGAGTTTCCTAAAATTAGCCAGAGGGGATTCTGGCGCTGTGATCGTTCAGCAACTATTGGAATGATGGGTAGTATATGAATATGCCTAGTCTTAGTACTTGCGGGTGGCAAATCACACTTGTGGCTTCGTTAAATGCTCTGTTTGGTTTTTTTTTTTTTTCAAAGGAAAGAACAAACCCGTTTGAGCTTTGTGACCCGATTTGAAATGGTAAGCCTAAAAGAATAAGGTGGTGAAGCGCAACAGCTGAACATTTGCTGATTTTTGTTTCGTAAGAAAACAGCTTCAAGCCACACGAACACACAAGAAGCCAGAAGTACGAAGATTAGACAAATCTGTGTACTACCCATCATTCCATACTCGCTGAAGTGCCGTGTGTTACAGCTCCCATAAACACTAGCGCCAGAGTTCTTTCTAGTGTATATCTAGGAAACTCTATGGTTTCTCCGGCACTGAGGCTAGCACAGCCAAAAAAGGGAGCAGCTGCGTTGTGCTGCCATTGTGTCAACTACTAACCCTCCTCGAAAGAATGGCCCTGAATTCTACTTGGCGGCTTATCAGTCTATGGGCAATGCCAACACATGCCAATAAATCGAGTGATGAAAATGTGTGTGTGTGCGTGTGTCTGTGTGGGTACACACACACACAAGCGCATGCAGCAGAGTTCAGGGTGTTTCATATAACAACTAAATATTAAAGACGATAGTCTTTCTTGGGGACCTTCGACAGAAAAAATTTTGGTCTGTCTGTCTGTACATTTGTCCGTTTGTCCACCCTTAACGATATCTCAAACAATCGACCTCATCCGCAGCGTCCACCAATATTGCTCAAGGATTCAGCGTTCATACTTCTGCGATTGTCAATTAAAAAGCAATCATCGTGCATATATGAGGTA